ATGGCGAGAAGATGTCCAGCTGATCTGCAATGGCGAGACACTTGAGGTGGTGACTGAATATACCTACCTGGGGACCGTAATTAGTAGTTCTGGTAAGATAGACGCCGAAATATCAAGTAGAATATGTAAGGCGAATCAGGTATATTACCAGACTACTAATAGCATTATCGGCCATCGCGAAGTAGACAAGAAGACCAAAATGCACGTATATAAGTCTGTTTACCTACCTACACTCACCTACTAGACAGGCACTCTAGTCGCATAACGGCAGCAGAAATGAGGTTCCTTCGCAGATCTGTTGGCAGAACTAGAAGGGATCGCATTAGGAATGAAAGCATTAGAGAGCAGCTAGGAGTTGCCGAACTTAAAACTACTCTAGAAAGACGGCAACTCCAGTGGTTTGGACACGTCTGCCGCATGAATGAGAATTTGAATCCTATAAGGATATTAGAGGCTCGACCTACAGGAAGGAGACCACGCGGACGCCCCAGACTCACGTTCCAGGATTACATTCAAAGGATTGGATGTAAAAGAGGCAAAACCCTCAATGAGATGAAGCGACTAAGCATGGACCGGGAAGAGTGGTTGCACTGGTTGAGGCTTCTCGACGCTAATTAATGGCAGAAGAGGAAGAAGTTATATGATAAATTTTGTTTAAGCACCCTATTCCTTTGCGGGAATCATCTAAGATTTCTTTAAGGATCTACAATTAATGGTATTTAATTTTCTTATAATATCCAGTTTAGTACAGCCTTTCAAACCGAGAATTGTTTTCAATTACGAAGAATTCAAGGTCAAAAGTAAGTTTTTTATATTGAACATTCAACACTATTTTGCCTAATGTTTTAAGATTTTGTCCTGTGTAAGTTGTCAGCCTTTGTTTCTTTCTGTTTAAAGACTTTCTCTCAATGCCTAACTCTACAATGACTTTCGACACTAATTATATTGGCCATTGCTCCTGTATCAAGTTTAAAATTATGTTTCAACCTATTTTCCAACAGTAATGTTGCCTGCCATTCTAGTGTGCTTGATTCACTGTTTATATTACTTTCATGAAGATTTTCCGTATTATCAAGCTCTAGAACCCTTATTTTTTTTTTATTGTCCTGCATTGTGAGGCATAATAGCCCTTGATATTACATTTATTACAAATTGTGTTGTAAGCAGGGCATTTATTTCTGTCATGTTTTGAACCATATCTGGAACATATTCTAAAATTTTGTGTGGCACGCCAATTGTTAAAATTAGAACAATTAGAGCACTGCTTCCTTCTAGCTCCAGGATTTCTTTGATTTTTATCACTATTATTTATGTAATTTATTTCAACAGGATTTTGACTGCTACTTGCCTTAATTATTTTCGACTGTTCTGTTGACTCTTCATAGGCTAAAGCAATTTTTAATATGTCTTCCAGATTTTTGTCTTTTAATTGTAATAATTTTTCACGTAGTAAATCAATTTGGACACCACAAATAAATATACTCTTCACTAAATCATCTTTAAGAGTCCCAAATTCACAATTCAGTGCTTGATTTTTTAGTTCCGTTATATAATGCTCTAGTGACTCTCCTTCCGTTTGTTTTCTGATGAAAAATTAATATCTCTAAAATTCAATGTTCTTTTTTGCTTGAAAATGCTTTTCAAATCTATCAAGAAGAGTTTTCAAATCTTCAGAATTTGAACTCTTATCAAACGTATTATAAATTCTCAAACCTTTGTCCCCAATCAAATGCAAAAGCTGAGCACATTGTTTTTTCCGATTTTTTGTCTGATTCGGTTGCTACAATGTAATTTTCAAACTTCTGTCGCCAAAATTTTCAATTAGCCGCTAAGTTTCCAGATATATTAAGATTTCGAATGCCTTTTTCCGCCATATTTATTAATTATTTTATACCTTAAATCTTCCAATAATTAAAAACAACACTTCAATTTCACTATAATTAACCGAACAATGTTTCTTTTAATATACCGACTGCACCATGTAACATATTCAAACTCAAATCAAAACAAAGTAGTATCAAGACTCATACTTTATTCAATTAAGATCTTTAACCTATAAACGCGTGTTTATTATTAACATACATTACATTGTCCTACGCATCTTTTCAATTCATTACAATTGTCTTTATTATAAATATTATTTGGCTAACTATTGTATACCTTCAAACTAAGTTATATTTATACTGATTGGCACCTTTTGCTTATTTCAATTACTAGCCAATATTCACAATTCTATAATCATAAGAAACAACACAAATCTTATACACATCTAAAATATTTAGTCAGCAAATTATTTACATTCTACAGATAGAAATGTTACCTCCTTCTCCCTCTGACTATGTTTACCTACCTTTTGCTATCTGGAAAAAGGAAAACTGGGAAATCCTCCCCCAACCCTTTCACTTACCTACCAAATGTACTTAAAAAGCCTTCAGTGCTCGAACCAAGGTTAGTAAGAGAAAATATTACAAATTTTTAAAAATAGATTATATACATTATTTTTAGTTTGTATAACTTTTTACATATTTCATTTATAATATTGTGTATTGTAATAATAGTTAAGATTCGTGTGCCATCAATCACTATAGTTCATTATTTACATTATTGATCATAAAATATTATTTCTGATTGTATTTTAAAATTTTCAGCCTTAATGATTACCCACAGGTTTGGGTTAAAACGTCGGCACAAATAAAAAATTTTTATAATAACTGCGTCCTGAATATTTATCACCCATAATAACATCTATAGTGTAATCCAGTATCCAACCATAATGTTGAAAATTACTTTGTGAAGTGATCAAAGAAATATTTTCATAGGTTGCATTTAATTTTGCTCTTATAATGCTTAAATAATTAACAAGAATTTTATTCCATCAAATTGCAATTTCATAAAATATATAAACAAGAATTATACTGAACAGAAAACTGCATGTTCATTTAATTAGTATATGATTCATGATTTTTGGAATACTGTGCGCCATTAAGCTCCAATAATATGTTACCTCTAAGTTATCAGTATTTATAAGAAATATACATTAAAATACTGTTTAATTATCACCTCGAAAATCCATAAAAGTATCATTCTTATGATTGACTGAAAATAAACAAAATATTCAAGGAAATGGTTTATTTACCTACTTCAATATTATAAAATAGAAATAGATACAAAGTTTTAGAAATTTGCAATCATAAACTTATCAACCCTGATAAATAAACCACAAGAACGCACAATGAACGTCTCATGACACACGAAACTCCTCCTACCGAGCAATCACTTTCGTTGGCACATGCGCAAGTCCATAACCAGAAACCGAAAGCAAAAACAGCTCTTAAACAAGCTCCGCCCACTATAGGGCAAACAGAACGTGATTGGTCAGACACATTCCCCACCATGCCATCCCATACAACGTTTTATTTAGCTTTCTTATAATAGTTTCTCGCAAAAGACGGATAGAACAAGAAAATCTTCGTCTCAGTTTCTGTTTTGGAGTAAATTTTGAAGATGACAATCCTTTCAGATTTTTACAAGCAGCAAATTACTGGACGTATAAATGTCTTTAGTCGAAAGAAAAACGGTTAAGAAAAAAATTATTACTCGTATAAAATTTAATATTTAGGTGAATTGTATCAGTCTCTTTTAGCTGTACATAATTGTAAATCGTCGTTTCCCCCACTATGCCCGTATAGATTGAATGTAATGACGTCACAACCAATGGTGTGTGTAGCTGTATTTACAGGGTGTGATTCCACCGGATATTGGTTTGTTGTCCCACAGGGTAAGTGCTTTACTTAAGCATTTACTACAGTCCATTGAGCGCAAAATGGAAGGTCCACTTGATATGAATTATATTTTCTGATATGAATGAGATATGAATACACTGTTGATTGATTTTTTGCTTAGGTAGCTCTGTGACAGAGAGGTTAGGCTTTATCATCATTGGTGTACTTTGTATTCCAACTTTCTTCTATACTTTTTCGTAACGTAATAACCATAAAATTCAAGTATGAGACACTATGGGATAGACCAGCTACAGAACTGGGTTGAATTCCATCCCCCCTATTTCCCGAGCCCCCCTCTTCCATGTTCCTCCTTCCCCTCCCTTTATCATTACCTGATTCTCTCTTCTCTTCCCCTTCTCCCTGACCATTTACTAATCTTTGCTTTAAAACTTATTATAGTGGGGATAATTTACTTTAGACAGTAAGCGATAATGCAATCGTTCCTTACTGGAGTTGAGATAATTTACACAACAGTTTTTATTTTATTTCTATGATTTACATCATATCAGCGATTCTTATTTTTAATAGACATTCTATTATACAGAAAATTAAACTGTAAAATACAAGTTGTAGTATTAATACTACAACTTATTCGATGGCTTCTCATGTCACAGTATTGATTTATTTATCAATGAATGATGACGTATATGGCAACTGGACTAGGAATTGACATTTTCTTTGAAACCTTTTATTTTCCTTTATTAAGTTAGTTAAGATAACAATATAATAATTCATGCAATTTTTATTTAAATTTACAAAACATTCCAAACGATGCTTTAGTTCAAATAACAATCCTTTCAGATCAAGGTTGGCATGATCTTTAATATAAACACTGGCATTGATGGTGGTAACATTGTACTAGTAAATGGAAATGGCCGTTTACAATAATTTGGAGAACAAAACATAGTCACATTTGCTATTAATTTTATATTGTTTTTTAATTTTTATAATTAAGAATGTAGCCTTTCGCTTATTAAAAACAAGCTATGTGCCATTTATAAAAAGCTTCGGTTTTGAAAATTTTCTTTTGATAATAGCATGATGAAAATATATGAATGCATCATTGAACCTGGTGGGTTTGTTTATTTTTGATTACTCTATTGAATCATTGTACCGATTTAAGTGAACTCTATTTCTTTACCAAATGAAGAAGTGAAGGTATGTCTTGCCATAACTTTGAATGTTTGTTTATGTTTTAGGTTAACTGTTTTTTAGTGTATGTGTTTATCAGGAACAACTTTTGTGTGTTCCAGTATTATTTGGCTCCAGTATCCCTGCCATCCAGTGCTGGAGCTGTAAGTAATCAATCATTTTTTGGTTGTCATTGATATCTTAAAGTTATTCAAGAATTTATATTAAGTTGATAACACTATGTTGAGTTCAGTTATAGTTTGACTGTTCTCCACCAGTCCCTATTCAAATTACAGTTTGATATATAATTTGTTATATATTATTTTAATGATATTTGGTAGAGGTTGTGGCAAAGGAAGGCATCGTGGACTCAATACCTCAACCACTAATAGAGGGGCGCCCCGCCGGCTCTCTACTCGTAACGCCACAACAGGTAAGATAGTTTTTCATTATTTTCTGTTATCTTAGAAGTTTGTGTTTTATAATAGTAATTGACAGTTGCAGCAACTGCAAAGGCTTCACGCTGGGGAGCAGGCGGGAGGCGCCCTAACCCTTACACTACAGCAGGTATAGTTTCAAATTGATTTTTTTTTCTAAGTCTTTCTAAATTCTTGTGTAATTGTGTTTATATTAATGACATAATTCAAGAACAACCATTGGCAATTTTTGTGCAATATAAGATTGGATATGTATTTTGTTAAAAAATCTATTACAATTTAGTATCCTTAATAAACATTAACCAATATCACTATTGTGATTATGTACATTGTAAAGTTATTATTTATTAAATTGTCTTATAAACTATCATAACTGAAAGTGAGAAATGTTGGTATTGGTTGTTCTTTCTTTAAGTCATATATATAATACTAATTTGATAAGAGCTTTATTACTATGAATTATTTGTTAATACTAAGATTAATCTTATAGATATTTTTGTGTTTTGCTTGAAGTCATGTAAAACTGTGTTACATTTGATAAAAAATTTTATTAGCACGTAGTTACTCAAATTCATTCAAAATTCTGAAAGTATGAATGTTATGTTTTGATCTCTCAAATCTTTTCAGGAGCTTTAATGTTTAATTGTGTATCTTGTAGTGTTTTGCAAATCCTTTTGATCTTTTAAGGTTGGTGTAATCTTGATCTTCACATAGAATTGCTGAGTGAAACTTCGAAAGAACTTCCATTTTTTTTATAATCTATTAATGAAATTAATCATTTTATACGAGATATATATCATTCCGTCTTTTTCTATAGAAAATTTATAAATGCTTGTGATCTTATAATTTTCATGTTGTGGCTCTATTGCGAATATGTATATTTAAATACTATGACAGTTGTTGAGTTGTAACAGGTTTTGTCAGATTTGTTATTAATACTTTTTATATGTTGATAAAACTTATTTTCTTCTTTTGAAGTAGAGAAGTAAAAAACTAGAAATTTAAAGAAAGTACATAGTGATTTATTTTAGTAGAAAGTACAAGAAAAAAAAATTCATTATTTCATTTAATTTCTAGCAGTATATTTCAGTATATTTCTTTATAATGTGCTTTCTGTTGGTTGAATGTGCTGTCTTCTTTTGCAGCACTTTTTAATCATAGCTTTTGATTAATTGGAAACCTCAAATATAATTTTCTTCATACTTCCCTTTTGTAATCAACTATATTTATGTAGAGCATGTGATTTGATTTATTATTTTTTTGTTTAACTCCTACCTTTCCATTTCTGGAGGTGTTGTTTTAGAGATACAACCAGACCTAGTCTAACCAGAGAGAGAAGGTTGAAATTTATTTTGTGGCAGACCTACAAAATAAATCTAAAACTAATTAAGCCGGATTTGAATCAGTACTAGAATCGAGGATTATTATTATTATTTTAATTATTCATCATGTTTTTAATTTTAATTTTGTCAATTCTATATGTTTTATTTATTTTTTTATTTCCAAGGGTGGTGGTGGGGTGGCTCCCCAGTTGGTTCTGGCTCCTCAGGGATTTCTTTCGGGGTCAGGACAGCCTACTGAACACATTTTACATACTTCCCAGCAAATAGGTCATACGAGTATTCAGCATGTATTGCAGAGTAGCATCAGTCATGTCAGACAAGCTAGCATCCTTCAGTCCAGTCTCCATCAAATACCTGTTAGCCATAGTTCACAGGTATTGTATAAGCTATTGAATTAATAACTATTTTGTGGATTCATATTTATCTAATATTAATCCTTTGAGGATACTGATCCACTGCAGCTATCAGAGGGTAGGTGGAGACCTAGTGACCTACAGTGATCCACTATAGCAGTTGGTAGGGAGGTAAGCCCTTGGGATAGTTGTCTGCCTTATTAGTCCTGTTCTGTCTTTTCTCCAGTTAAGGATGATGAGCTTATAAGGCATATGTGCCCTGCAACAATCTAACTTAGCATTTTAGGCTATATGACCAATAAAATGGATAAATTAAATAATTTTTAATAAAAAAAAGAATAATTTTCTATGGTGTAATTGTTTGGTGCCTGGCTAATTTCACCTTTAATCTCCAAATGAGACAAATGTGGTTACTAACCCATTGATTAATCTTTAGCCATAACATTTATGCTACCATATTAGCATAGGTGAAAGGGTTAGATTGAATTTGTAAAGCAGAAAAAAAGGGTATTTCAAGTTATTGGTCTATTTACAGAAAGAAATCTATATAGAATTATATTATGTACAAGCAAAAAGAAGTAAAACAAAGGAAAGAGATAAAACTTAAACATAATGACTTTATACAACATAAAGACAAATATAAAGATAGTAATAATAACAAAAAATGTACACTTATTCTATTAACTATGTACAATTGTATTTGGCATGCCACATCTAAATCTTAAAACAGTCGCCCAAAGAGCGCATGTACATGCTAATAAATCTAATAATTAATAATTAATTATTAAAAAAAAAGAAGAAGAGGAAACAAAAGAATGGTATATATACATTTCAATGCTTCCCATCTTGGTTACAGCTAGATGTAAGATTTCAGTTAATTTAGATGAAGCCGAGATTCTTGAAATGTGACTGTCTGCCTTCATTAAGCGTTACTTTTTTTTTGTTTGTGTACTATTGCTATATACGCAAAATCTGTACAAAACCTCTTTTTACCAGATGTTATAAATTAAACGATTTCATGAAAAGTTAATAATTGATATTTAATAGTATCATATCAGCAATGGTTTGTCTATTAGTTGTCTACAAGAGTTACAGTAGCACTGATAAAGAATCGAGAAGATTCTACAACTTCAGGAACCATTTTATAGTTGGCAATAATATTTTTTTTATTATTTATTTATTTATTTATTTATATGATATTTACAACTGTATACAGAAAATACATATGGTAAATTCGCACATGGATATAATGACATGAAACACATGTTGAGAAACTACCCATTGGTAGCACTCTAATAATATGTCTATATTAGGAGATCACGTGGCCATCTTCTTTTTCTGGTATGAGGATTCCAAGTTAGACGTTTGTCCAGATGGAGTCCTAGGTTGGCAATAATATTAAATAATTTTTCGAGAAGTTGGTCAGAGGTATGTTGTAGGTCTTCTTCAGGTCATTCCATCTGATGATACAGCCTGAAGCAGTTCAGATATTAGCAGTCTAATATAACTGGTATAAACCTGTTGTATTATTAAATCATCTAAATTTAACAATTTATTTATTATTGTTATAAATGAATCACAGTTTAAATTATTTCTCATGTTTAAAATATTGTCAAAGTGTTTCTTAAACTTACTTTATATATCAACAGGGTCAGTGAAGATATTGTTATTTTCTTTCCTAATTCCAGTCATTACGGGTTCTAAATATTTATGTTATTTATTTATACCTTTGTACATGTCTCTTACGTGTTTTTTTATTCTATTGTTTTCTATATCTATTATTTTATTTTTAAGATACTCACTTTTTTTATTTTTGAACAATTTAGTTGTCTCATTCTTTAAGGCTCAGAAATATTCAAGATGTTTTCGCTAGTTAGCTTTTATTTTAGCGGCTTTTCTTTTTTCATATATGTTTAAGCAATCTTCATCAATCCACAGTTTATTATTTTTATTTTCCTTTTTTTTTTAAAGATAATGAACTGTGGATTACCGACTTCTTTAATATTATCTCTGATTCCTACCCATATCTTATCTGTATTATCACAATCCTCATCAGAAGGTTCTAAAGCTTCAAACTTGAATTGAGTTCTAATTGATGGGTTTTTTAATTTTTCCAATTTGAAATTCTCGGAACCGAAACATTTTTTTTTTTTTCTCTTTTTTTATATTAAGTTTTTGTCAAAGATTTGCGATTACTAATTTGCGATTACTAATTACGATTACTAAAAAATTAAATTACTAATTACTAATCTGCCCCACTTTCTATCCCGCGATAAGACATTACATTAATTATAATATTTTGCCATTTATGTTGTATCAAGACGTGATCGATTTGATTTTATGTTTGCGAATATCCAAGTATAGTTGTGAATATCCTTATGTTTAAATGTAGTACTTATAATTTCTATGTTTTTCTAGATGGCAAAATTCATTAGCTAGTCGGAAAATAAACTTCTTCTCTTCCCACCTTTGCGTTAGCATTTCCTAAAATTATTTTCATGCTACTTCGCGGTAGTTTATCATAAACTCACTTCAGTTAATCATAGAATTCGCATTTGGCTTCGTCATCACTGTCTTTGGTCAGACAGTGTATGTATGTCAACGTGATTTTAAACCAACTCCTCTGGCCTCTGGAATATGGCCACTGAAATCCTATTGTTAGAAAATTGTATGTCCCTCAAAGCGGATAGAAATCTATTCCTAATAAGAAAAGGGGTACCTAAACAATGATTTTCGCTTCCTCCGTACCAAAAAGTGTACTTATGTTCCCTTGGCCAACGAACCTCTTGCGATGCAACAATATCTAAATTGTACCCCTTAACCTCATTTGCGACCGATTTTAATCCACCTGCTGTATTCAAACTCCTTACATTCCACGTTGCTGTACTTAAGTATTTAGTTTTCAACTTGCACATTGAATCCCCTAGAGTAGACCCCACACTGAAACCCGAATGGGGGACTAGTTTGCTTCCGGATATTGAGAGTTTTACTTTATGAAGACCCATGATTTTTTGGTATTTTGTGACCTTTAGGTGTAGTAGTAGTAGTAGTAGATGTAGTAAGTAGGATTGAATGACAGTAGGTCATTCAAACCCTCCAGCAAGTCTGGTGGGCCCGTCTCATTGTTGGCCAGAGAGTCAATCAGACTTAGCCAAGAGGAACTTCCAAGGAATTGCCACCGACCATCCTCACATCCGCCACCCATAGAACTCTCCTCTACTTGGTAATGAGCCCACGTGAGGATGATTATAGTATATGATATGTTATATCGTCAGCCAGTATTTTTGCCAAATAATCTTTTAGAGCCATTACTTCTAACTTATAGTTTTTTAATTAATTTCACATGTGTGAAATTTTTGGGGACGAGAGTTATAGGAGGAGTTATTAAATTTATTTAACATTTACATATCACACTTATTCTTTAGTAGGCTGAAAAATAATTATATCATTCAATTGAAAGCTTTAACTTTTGCCTCTTGGGTAGTAATGTACTCAAACATAAAAATTGTTATTTGTAATTATTATATTAGACAGATTTATATTAATTTGTATTGTTTGTTAAGGCAACTGGAGGTGAGAAGATTGGGAGTCCCATCAGTGGTGGGACCCCAAGCTCCCCATTTTCGCCTAGATCTCTTACCCCTAGTCCATCACCCACCCAGCAGCAGCATCGTCTCACTCCACAACCTACCCAACAGCAAATACTTCAGCAACACCCAACAGTCTTACAACTATTTCATCAACAAGCAACCCGAAATACACGTAAGTCGTTTTTAATATTTCTAGTTATTGCTTCCTCTTTGCTGAAGGTAGCTAGTGAGAGTTCTTTGTTCATGGAAAAAGTAAAAAAATAAATAAATATTTTCATAACCGGAAATTTCCACTTGATTTTTTTTTTTTAGTCGTAATCATTTTATAGTTAATTTTCTTTCTGTATAAATAAATTTAGTTTGTTGGAGGGTGATAAAAAAAAGGGACAAATAAATCATGATTTTTTAAAAAACAGAACTTAGCTTGGTTTACCCACTCAAAAATCTTTTTTAAATGGTTTTACCATTGTCAAACTATATTTTAATATAAAGTACCTTTTGTCTAGTTTACTGTGAAACAACTGTTAATGATTTAAATTAAGTATTTTTTAGTTATCCCTTCCTATTTAACAAAAAACTTAAATTAAGTATTTTTTAAATTATTCCTTCCTATTCTACAAAAAGCTTGAATTTCCTATTTTTCTTTGAAAATTGGACCTTGGTTTATATCTACTTTTCTGTAGCTCTTGAGGTCTACTATTTATCACCTCTTTAAATATTTCCCTTTATTTACGGAACACTCTGTATATTATTTTTATCATTTTCATGTTTACATTGATTATGATATGTTGTCATATTGATCATCATTCTCTTCTGGATTATCTTCAATATCTACAGTTGGTTAGCAAAAGATTTTTTTTTATAAATGGCATACACTCTTCCAGGATGCTATCCTGAATTCATTTTAAACTGTCTAATATTGAAACCATTAAATTTTTCATGATATTTCAAGTTAGTGCTAAACAAAAATTGAAAATTACATATTGTATTTAATTTAACACATTAGCTGCGATTACTGTCCCTGAGTTCCGATAGCTTTATATCAGATATAATGATTATTCATGTTTGTATCTATCTTTACATCTATCCAAGTCCCATTCAAATATTTTTAAGAAATGACCATTTTAGAGACTTTGTAAGATAGGCAAAATTCGAAGCAATCCCGGCCGAAGTTGAGAAAAATATTGGAACCCTGGTACCATTACCATAACTAACATGTTAATTATATGTATATATATATTTTCTTTCACAAAATTTAACAAATATGAAAGAGTAGATATCATGAATATCTTCAT